TCCCTAGTAAGTTGAATAAATGAAATTGGAAATTAATATATCTCAGGTCATAAACATAAAGTGAAATCCATATAAAGAAAATATTGCAATAAAATTTACAGCTGAGATGTTAAGAACTTATAGTGGATCTTTTAAATATGTCACTGCTGAGGATTCCTGTATAGGGCCCTGTATTTTGATGATATTTCCTAGTCTGCATGTCAAACCTGTAACCAGAACCGGAGTCTGCAGCCGCTCTGCCTCTGGGCATCAGATGGCGCTCGTACACCACCAGAGGAGTTTTTGCAAACCAATTCAGCCTGAAGTTTCTGTGATAATTATGGCTGTAAGGGAAATTTTCAAAACATTTTTCACTTCTCTTATTCCTAGGATCTAAAGACAGAGAAGAGAGGACATTTATCAGTTTGTAGGGATGAAGTGATAAAAAAATGAACAACCCACCCCCTCAGAACAAAAACATATACCAAACAACAGCTCTGGCATCTACCAACTAACTATACTCTGATCTAGTGTCCTGTTTGAGGTTTAGTTTTATCTGTGAACTGGGTTTAGTGACATATACTTGGAAAGAATTTTTAAGAAAAATAAGAATTGAACAAAATATATGATGAATTATTTGCTTCTCATGCTTTTTTTTTTTTTTTGGTACTGGGGATCGAACTTGGGTCCTTGCTCTTGCGAAGCAGGACACCGAACCGCTGAGCTAAATCCCCGGCCCTGCCTATGCTGCTGAATAGATAGCAAATTGCAGACTAAGACTAACCAAGAATTTGAATAAAAATTCTTCATGGACTCACTTTCAGTCTTATTACCTTTAAGGGATAATACCTGTTTCTCTTCAATTAGGCTGGCTATTTGTAATATGATTGTGTATGTATTCATTCAGTTATGGATAAAATATTTACTACTATGCTCCAGGTACTCTGCTAGGTACTGGTGAGAATAAGATAGTAAGAATAAAATCCCCGACTTCATAGAATGGATGTTTAGTGGCAGTAATAAACAATAATCAGGAAAACAAACAATTAGTATGTAATCACAAGTATTTACTATGAAGGAAACAAACAAATACTATGGTTTTAAAAGATAACAATAAAGGGAAGGATATCTCAAATAGGATGGTCAGAGGCAGCCCTTCAGGAGAGGTAAAATTAAAACAGAGGAAACAGAGATGAAAGTAAATTCTTTCCTGTAGAGTAGGTGGTAAAACAATCCAAAAACTCAGCACCTACTAAAAGATTGACATTATTATCTTTCATTAACAGCTACAACTATATTTATAATAATATATTAATAACATCCATTTTGCAGTTTCTATTAATGTATTTCTTTGGGAGATGATGTCATCTTTATCTTTTTTTACTGTAACACTTTACATTCAGCTTAGTCCACAGTAGGTGCCCAATAAAAGCTTCCTGAGTGAATAAATGGTTACAGTAATCATCCAATGTAGGCAAGGTTCATTTCAGAGATATTAAATGATTATGGTTCACAAGAAAAGAGACATAGGACTCAGATTTTGACTTTTGAAAACATTTTACTCCAGTGCTCTTTTATTCCAGTCTTAAGAGTTGAAATCTTACCTTTATGTTTATGGAAGTTAATTCATATAAGAGTTCATAGGTGAGGTACATATAAACAAAATTTGACAGAAAACCAGTGCAATCTTGTATAGAATAAGTTGTTTCTAGGTAACACTGGTGTTAATCCAAATGGAACTATCCATACCACATATCCATCACCCATAATATTTAAGACAGGCTTATGCCTGTTTATTGCTGATTCTTGGGCATGTTTCACAAACCAATGATAAGCTTCAAAGTTTAATGCTTGTGTGAGTCATTAATAAAGAATGGCTCCAAGCTTATGAAAACATTGATGACAGCATCATACATCATGCAGAAAGCCAATCAATATTTTAGAAGTGGTAGACAGATTCTTTCACATCTCCATTCACTGTTCCTTTTCAAACTTTTTTTTAATAGGAGGTGAAGTTCATAGGAATCTCGTGGGTCTTTTCTGTGTTGGTAAATTAAATTGCTTGTGAAAAATAAATGAAGCAACTTCAGGAGAAGCAGAAACATTTCTGACCATGAAAAATTTCCCACTGGGTTCAGGAAAACTACCTCAATGACTCTTTCTCAATTTTAGGTGGAATCTTTGCACTGCATTGTTTCTTTAAATATAAATCTAAAATGGCCATACTACCAAAACTTCTATACAGATTCAATGCAATGCCAACTGAAATTGCAATAGTATATTTCACAGAACTAGAAAAAAGAATCCAAAAATTCATTTGGAACCAGAAGAGACCTGGAATAGTAAAAGCCATCCTAGGCAACAGAGACATGGCAGCAGGTATAGCAATTCCCAATTTAAAACTATACTACAAAGTCACTGTGATAAAAACAGCATGGTCCTGGCAAAGAAACAGACTTGAGGATCAGTGGAACAGATTGGAAGATACAAAAACACCTGCAGATGTACTCAGCTACCTTATCTTTGACAAAGGAGCCAACCATCTTCACCGGAGGTAAGATATTCTCTTTAATAAATGGTGTTGTAAAAACTGGATCTCAACCTGCCAAAGATTAAACTAGACCCTTATCTTTCACCATGCACTAAACTAAAATCCAAGTGTATTAAAGATCTAAATATTTAGAAAGTCACCAAATTTGCTGGAAGATAAGTTAGGCAGAACTCTGGAAGACATTGGCATAGGAAAAGACTTTATGAACAAAATCCTCAGTAGCACGGGAACTAGCAGAAAGAATCAACAACTGGGATCTCATCTTATTAAAAAGCTTCTGCGCTGCAAAAGAAACCATCAACAGAAGTAACAATCTACAATGTGGGGAAAAATTTTTTACCAGCTGCTCCTCAGACAAAGGACTCTTACCTAGAATATATAAAGAAGTCAAAACAACCAACCTCCCCAAATATAAAGACCTGATTAAAAAATGGGCATCTGAAATGAACAGACATTTCTCAGACAAAGAAGCAAAACCAGCAAATAATTATATGAAAAAATGCTCCACATCACTGGTCATTCGAGAGATGCAGATGAAAACAACACTGAGATTCCACTTCACCCCACAAAGAATGGCTGCTATCAAGAAATCACACAATAACAAATGTTGGCAGATTGTGGGGAGAAAGCAACCCTTCTCCATTATTGGTGGGAGTGCAGACTGGTGCAACCACTATGGAAATCAATATGAAGATACCTCAAAGAGCTAGGTCTAGAGGTTCCACTTGACCCAGCCATCCCTCTGCCAGGAATCTTTCCAAAAGAATTGAAAGAATAATATCAAGTGATATATGCACACCTATGTTTATAGCGGCAGTTTGTAATAGTTAAAGCTTGGAAACAGCCCATTTGCCCATCAGTTGGAGACTGCATAAAGAAGATGTGGTTTTTCTCTAAAATGGAATACTACTCAGCCATAAAGAGAAATTAGATTTATTCATAGGAAAATGGATACATATTGAAGATATACCCCTAAGTGAAATAAATAAGTCACAAGTGTATAAATACTGAATAGTTTCTCTGGTGTGAAAAACTATAATGGTACATAAGATCCTAATGCGATAATTTACCATGTAAAATAGGAAGAAAGGGGCTAAAGGTGTAGGGAAAGTGGGAAGGGTAGGGGAAAGGAAATAAGGGAGAAGAAAAGATATATGAGAAAATGAAAAAATTGGAAATAAAGTCTTTGCAAATAGGGAAAGGAGGAGGTGGTGAAGGGAGGGCAGGGATAATGGGAGAAAATGAGAACCAAGACCTGTCATGTAAAGGTACAAGATCCCAATGATGAATGTAACTGTACTGTATACCTAAAATGTACCAATAAACTCAGTGAGAGAAAATATATAAATCTGTTCATCACTGAGCTAGGTTTTGGGAGAGATGCAAAGAATACAAATTTTCCCACCAAGGAATCTGTTTCTCCTTTTTCGCAAAAGCATTTCCTGAGTACACTGTGCTTACCATGGTAGGCATCAATTGTTCAAGGTGCTTTTCATGTAATTCATAGTCCCACAATCTGTACTTACAAATATGAACTTGAGGAAATGAGGTCCACAGAGGTTAAGTTACAGCTATGGTCACACATACAGGAAATAATAGTGGTAGGGTTCAATTTAGGTGGTCTGGCTCCAGAATCCGAGCTTCAGCAGGGTTCCTACCTTACGGGTGCTCACAGCTTGATGGTGAAGACACAAATAGGAAAAGACATCCTGGAGTCCAGCAGGACTGTGAAGAGAGCAACCGAGGAGGACTCCCATACCTGGCAGTTTGGAGGAGCTGAGAAGCTTGAGACAAAGAGAGAGAGAGAGAGAGAGAGAGGAGACACATTGGCTGAATCCACAGATTCGTTACAAGCAAGCCAAACAATGAAAAGCACCTCTTCTCTCCCTCTCCTACTTGTTTGCCATTAGCTGTGTCATGCTGTTGAAGTGGTACTACAATTTTTGATTATTTAAAAAGTAATCTAAATAAATAACCAATGGCAGCGAGTAGTGGTGCTTGGGTTGCTAAGACACTACAGGGATTGGACACACAAGGTATTTCACTTTGAGCTTTTGCTTATTATTTCCATTGTAGAGGCCGAGCCAGACTGTAAATCTCAAGACGGAGGGTCCCCCAGTGCCATATAGAGCAAAGGGGAAAGTGAAAGAGTAACGACCACCGTGAGGCTGAGTCTCTTAATTCTCTGTTCGCTTATTGCCCTTCAGAATCCTATTGCTTCCAACTCCTTTCCTGGAAGTACATCACTTATTCTTGCCTCTCTGTGATCCTAACGGACCCAACATATGGCTCACTTCTTTGAAGAAACTTCCCCAGAAACTCACCACCAGCACTGACTCCCACGTCAAACTCCTATCATGCTTGAAATCGCAAACTCTTAACACACGTATATATAACTTCATTGTTCGTCTCATCACTTAGTATGTGCTGCTTTGAAGAGCTGATCTTTTCTTATGGTTTCATATTTCAGATCTCTCCATGCTCATACTCAGTATTCTTCCTTAAACCAAGAAGCTCTACATCTGGGATGAGGCCTTCCATTAAAGCCAAGGAAGTCACGACTGTGTGTCTGTGAGTTTGTTTTCTCCTTTAATGCTTGTAAGAAAGCTAAGTTACCTAATCTCATTTTGCTTAGAACCAGTTCTTCTTCTGATTAATTCTGCTACCAACACTTTTGCACAATCTTCACTTACATTAAAGTTTCAAAAATGTGTGAGTATCAACATGACTGTTGCCACTTTGGAGAATATTTGCATTGCTTTTTATAGCCTTAAAATTAAAAAAATTATAATACACATAAAATATACAATTAACCATCTTAACTATTTTTATATCCTTTTAAAATTTCTAAGATTTTGAGCTGCATAATAAGACTATATTATGTTTTGTACTGCTAGTGTTACATTTATACTTCTAGTAATTCCTAAGTATATAGAGCTCCAGGTATCACTCATTAAATATATTCCATTGGAGCATTCTTTCCTCCTTTTTCGTTTTTTTAGTAAAAGTGAAAACACATGACAGATACATCAGGAAAATATTTACATAACAATTTCATTACACTTAAATTTGTATTCCTAATTAATTTTTGGTCACGAAAGGCTAATTAATGAGTTCCCAGTTATGGCCAACTGTGCCCAAGCTTATCACATTGTGCTTTTCACCTCCACTCACTTTCAGTTTTCAACTGTTATTTAGACTCACAACAGGGGGTAAAGTATTTTTGACATTATACTGAGTACTACGATTAAAGATCTAAATACTAATAATGTGAATACTACCACTGCTAATAGCTAGCACTTATCAAGCACTTGCTCTGTCGCCAGGGCTATTCCGGCTGCTTCACGTAGATTGCACTCAAAACATTGATTGTAGTCAATATTCAGAGTATACCACATTTAGCAGTAAACCTTCAGAAGCCAGGGGACAGTTGTGAATACCCTCCAGAAGGAATGCAGCCCTGTTGACACTTTGATCTTGACTTCTCTGGAACTCTGAGCTATTGTGGTGGCCCTAGCAAACTGATTTGGTAGCTCACCCAGAAAAACAGGTGAGTGGCAAACTACACTAGATTTTCAATTCCTTGAATTATTTATTTTTTAATGTCCCAAATCTTACTTAGCACATAAGCGAGGAACGCATTAATATTAACTAAAGCCAACAAAATATAGCATCACTGTGGGCTTTTAAATGGCAGGGGAAGCAGCTGAGTAGGGAGCTGAATTTGAAGCTAGAACTTACCTGCTGTTAGACAGGGAACTATTTCTGTCAGAGGAGGATTGAAAGTACATAGTATTGGCTTCACCCATGATTGCAAATGTCAAAATTTCATTAATTTGATTTTTAAAGTTTAAGGTATTCTGCCATTTGGTTACTCAGTGTATGAATAGAATGACATTTATTTTACTTGGCTCTCTGTAAGCTACACATGCACATTTGTTAGAAGGGTATCATTTATCCTTTTAATGAGCATTTTGAGAGCACACCATGCTGGACTAAATAAGATGTATGGTCTGAAGGACAAGAATGTATTACCAAACTTTAGACTCTAATAGAAGACAAATGAAACACACATGAAATCTTAAATTTTGGCAAAACAGTGTGTCATTCAGTGGCAATGAGTGAAACAAACAGGACAATATGTCTATACAGTTCAGAGTTGGGAGAAAACAATTGGTCAGGAACTTGTAAGAGAGGTAAGATTCTGAATGGACTTTGATTCCTTGCAGTGGGTAAAGGAGGGCCTTTTAGGTGTGGAGGAATAATTTGGCCCAAAGCAAGAGTGACTATCATCTGCATTTCTAGAGAAAGAATTTTTCTTTGCTGGAGGGGGGAATTTAAAAAAAAAGCTATTTATTTTGTGCCTATTATATTCCAAGAATTGTGGTAAATATCAAGGTTTATTAATCCATAAAATATCCCTATCAACTACCTGTTACTAACTCCACTTCTGGATGAGGAAATTTGGGCTAAAGGAGGCCAAATCACTTGCCAAGACTATATAGCTAGTCAGGAGTATAATAGAGCATTGTTCTCAAGTCTTGCCTTCACAATAGTCAGGGGTATAATAGAGAATGGTTCACAAAGGTGCTCATCCATCTGTTTCGAACTCAATTAGTCCTAATCTAGATGTAGCTCATGTATCCATCTGTCTCTTCAAGACTTCTCTTCCTTTAGTTTATTTAGAGGAAGGTGAGTTTCTGTCATCTTTCGCCTGAGTTATTTATCTGTAGCACATGTGTCTACTCATTTCTCTCAACTTGCCCCTAGGGGGTTGGTTGTTCCATGGATGGTCACTGCCTGTACCCTAAGATCATTGTCCTTATGATATGGTACTGGTATCATAATACTGGTTTCAGCAGAACGACGATGTCCCTTTTTTCTCTTTGCATAGTTTCAGTTACCTGTACCACCTTTGGTCAAAAAATATTAAATGAAAAAATTCAAAAAACAATTCAAGTTTTAAATTGTGTGCTATTATAGATAATATGATGAAATCTCCTGGTGTCCCACTGGGATGTGAATCTTCCCTTTGTCTAGCATATCAACCTTATAACCACTGCCCCCCAGTTAGTCACTTTGTAGTCTTCTTGGTTATCAGACTGACTTTATGGTATTGTAGTTCTTGCATTCATGTAACCTTTACCTTACTTAGCAGTGGCTCCTGGGGGGGTCAAAGGAGTGATTTGGATATGACAAAGAGAAAGTGCAAAGTTTGGAGTTATTGACATAATAAGGAAAAAATATCTGTATGTTGAAGTTGTTAAGATCTGTGGTAAGAGTTTGTCGATAACATCTCACTTTGTCTAATTTACAAATTAAACTGTTATATATATTATATATGATAATTTTACACTAGCCATAATTTCAGGCATCTTGAAATATATCCCTTGGGAATAAGAGAGGATGATTGTAGAAGTGTTGACCCTGCCTGGCCTCTTGCAGTACACTGGGAGCCTCTCAAGGGTGGACTCTCCACACCGTGGTTGTCAATCACGGCTGCACATTAAAACCACTAGAGAAATGTTTTTAACATTTTCATGCCAGTGTAGGGGTCTCACTGCAAGGTCTCGAGCATGACTTGGACTTCAGAGTTTAATAGGTGATTTTTATGGACAGTGACCACTGCAAATCTGCTCTTTACCATTTCATAACGTCATTTCTGGGAGGGTACGATTCTCAGTTGGTGATTTATTTAAAACTTGCTCTAAAGCACCTTTTTTTCTGAATGATAGAATAAATTGGTGAGCAGCATCGAGGTCTGGGTAGAATTAGAGATAATTTATAGAAAAAATTGAGATTGTTTGGATCTCAGTGAGTAAGAATGATATGCAGCAAGGTGCATGTGTTTTGTTTGGTGAAGGGATGACAACTGAGCCAGACAGGAGCTAGGGGAGGCCAAAGCCCAATGTGCAAGAAGCATCGGGTGAAGGGTGGACCTTGCTGCTCTGGCCTTCTGAGTTAAGAGTTACTGACCATAGAGATGTAAATTTACCATGTAATTTGGAAGAGTGTATAGGAAAGGAGGGATCCCAAACATGGAGCAGAATTAAAATCTCCTTTCAGTTGCCCCCTTTCCAGAGCTGCTTGATTGGCCAACTGTGTAGTGAGGGGCTGGGATGTAGGGTTGGGTCCACATTGAGATTTATTACCAGGATGCTACCGTGAGGTTTCCTACTCCTCCCTGGTGGGGATGAGGCCACGGGGTTGGGTCGAGGAGGGTAGCTTTTGTGTGTGTGTGTGTGTGTGTGTGTGTGTGTGTGTGTGTATGTGTGTGTTTGATTTGATCTGGACTCTTATGTATTTTATAACAGTTTTTTAGCTTCATACTGTGTTTCATTTCATTTCTGTAATCTAGAAGTTTTAAACAAGAGCTCTAAAATAGTGGGCAGGCAGAAAATGGGAGGAAAAAGCGAGAAAATTCTTCATGATTCCTCTTAAAATTTGGAGTCATGGTGATAGCTGGCGAAGCCTGGATGAGCAGTATTAGTATTGCTTCAGTTGCTCACTGAAGTTTCACTTGTTCTCTGTAGACATTTTCTTGGTGCTTTTCTGCATCAACTTGGTCTTCAGTAATAGGCATGATCTGATGTTCAACCAGAAAGAACGACATTAAATAACATTAAATGACCATATTTTGGCTCTTCTATTATATTTCTTCCCTATTATATTTAGTTTTAATAAGCCATTAATTTTTCATTAAAGTGCAATACAAACATTGAATTTGGTCTTTCTCCATTTTTTCGTTTCTGCCCACCACTGGAGGCAATGATGTAAAAAATTTATTATTACCTGGGAGGCCTGGATTAAAAGGTTCAAATCATTCTCTTTGAAAGACTACTAGAGTCTATGGACATAGCACACTGAACACAGCTGATCTCCTCTGAAAGACTACTTAAAAATGCCTGAGTATTACACAGTTTGTCTTTTGTAAAATGGCGATAATTTTAGTATTCACTATGGAGGGTTTTTGCAATTTTTGTTTAAAAATGATTAATATTATTTGTTTTTTAAAAACTATTTTATAATGCTGAAACAATTTGAGTGACAAAATCAATCAAATAATGTTGGCTTATAATCCAAAATATAAAATAAATATCAATACTGATACCAATAAATGATCACCTAGTAAATAAATAGGAGGAAAACACATAAATCTGAGCAAAAGAATTACAAACAATTCTATTTTGTAATGCCAAGTCAAAACAAAGTGACTAAAGGTAAACAAAGCAGACATTAATGTCAAATTACCTAGAGCATCCTAGAGAAATGTTAATGTCTAATGGTAATGAGTGCAGCATTGGACAAGTTAAGGAAGTTGGACGGAAACATTTTCTCTTCAAAAAGCTAGTAAAACACCACCCGTAATTTTCTGACTTGTAAAAGAGGAGCACCTGAAGTTCTTTTCATCTTTGTTTTAAATGACTTTTAAGCTTTGAGTCCTTCAGTACAGTGTCTTGATGATGCCTTAGAGCCCTTTATTTTCTTCGTTCTGCTGATATCTAAGAGGCAATTAGGTTTTCCTCTTTCTCTCCATCTTTGTCTCTTTCCATCCATTATTATTTTACTCA